CCCCAAAACCCCAAAACCCCAAAACCCCAGAGTAGTTAAATATGTTTGGGAAAGTAAATAGTTTGAGTTAAAAATAAAGAAGTATGATTTAATTGGATAGAAAGTATTTATAAAATACTCTTAATGGTAAATATAATAGAACTTTCAACATTTCAACCCCAATTTCATGTCCAACTAGTTAAACTGTGCGATAGATGACTGGATGATGATTTTAGACACTGGAAACGAGTTAAATTACCAAAAATGTACTAATTGAAATACGTATTAAACTGACCCAATAGTTCCACCCATAAGCGAGCCAATAGCTTTAAAATATAAAACGATTCTTAATCAACAGGATAAAAATGACTTCTAAGAAGGAAACCAAATTTAAGACAATATTTTTTGCTTTAGACTCCAAGATTACTCTGATGAAAGCCCCTTTTCTCTATCATAATGTGATGATATTTCTTAACAAGATGAGGAGTTAAACGAAATTTAGATGAAGATGAACGATGAAATGTCAGTAATAAGTGAGTTCTCAGAGACTCGATATTAATTCTATGAGGATTCTGATGACTTTAATTTTACTACTCAGATGAAGAAATTAGCCATTAAATAGGCATCTGCTGAGGAGGTCCATAATTCGACTCAAGGTTCCATTTCTGATTATCTTAAGACTGTAATTGATGGGGATGTTACCATCGAAAGAGTTGCTATTAATTATGATGATGATTTCGTCGATGACCTTTTCAGGGTTCTAACTTGAAGATATTAAAGGGTATAAAGCAAATCAGACTTGGACAGAAGTACTGATGTATTTGATATCAGGTGAAAATCTTGGTTAACTCTAGGAAGTCACGATAGCTATCACTGTTTATCCTTATTTCAGATTAATAAATTAAATTAACATTTCTTTCATTCATTTATTCATAATCTATTCATCAATTATACAAACTTTCCTTGCTTCATCAATCTCATCTTCTCTCTCTTGTTTCAAGCAACATGTTAAACTCATTTTGAAGATTTTATACTAGACTCTAGAAAGTATGTTTTAACTTCTCATTATTATTATTATTTCCTTCGCCAATGCGATAATTTTTTTCATCTCTCCTCTTAGCTTATGGCACATCTTTATCAATGAGTTGATTATTTCTCAAGCTTTGTAACATACCTGTTATAGCTGTGAGTGTTTCTAGAGTCTTAACTTTCGCATCTTTGTTTAAATCTGCTTACTATAGTTCTGATATTAATTAATGCAATTAATCGCTTGATTAGTTTAAGTCCTTATTCTTTGCCTCACTTGGTAGGAATTTTGTACTACCAGAAGTACTCTGATCTATTGACTATCTGGTTTTGATAGTTTGTGATTTCAAGTCAATCAATTATTATTGAGATAGTGAGCTTCTAGTCTCTCTCGAACCCCTATTGCGCTTTATAATCTGACTAGATCTCCTCTCAGATAGACATGATAATTCAAGTGAGTTATTATTTGATAGCTATGCCTAAGTTGCCTAGACTTGGTTTTTGACTTACTCTATTATTTGAGATTTAAGTGTAGGAATCTCCTTATGCTGACTTTAATTTTAATTTCTTTGATTCTATCTTTCAATCTTAATGTTATTCTACTCTTAAGGTGCAGTTTTCTTATCATCATGAGTTAAGCTAGCAATTGATGTTGAGTTTCTGAGGTTTATTCTGTAAAGAGAAGAATTGGATTCATCTCTCTTTGTACTAATCTTAGGAATCTTAGAACTAAATTATCTCTAAAATCTTTGCTAGGAGTTTTCCCTATTCATCTACTCAGTAGTTTCAACAGGTTCTGTGCTTAAAATTTATGGTTAAGGGATAATTGAATCTGCTGTCACATCAGTAGCCTTTTAATCATATGATTCTTGAGTGTTTAGTTATTGATGTTTTTGGAATAGACTTTATTGTTATTACTACTAACCAGGTTATAATGAGGATTGCGCAGAAGTTCTAACATTCATAAAAGAGGATATAGGCTTTTGCTGTTTTAAAAGCTTTTGCTATTCAAGCAGTTCTTGTTGTCGTTTTTATTCCTCAATTTTTTCGTTCTCTTGCTGCTTTTTCTTTTCCTTTTACTCTTTAATAGCAAGTTTAGGGTCATATTTTCTGGATTAGATTCCTTTTTTTAAGTATTGCTTTCTCTGAGAAAGAGACCCATTCTTTAAATCATATTCTGAACTTTCTTGACTCTGTAGTTCCTCTTCATTGATCTTTTAGCTTCCAGTTAAGTACCTTTATAACTCAGTGTAATTTCCGAGCTTACTCTTTATCTTAGTGTCATTATGATTTTTCAGAGTATGGTCAAATGATAATTGTTGATCTTTGCTGACATCTTTAATGATAATCTTTTGATATTACTATGCTGGCACCTCTGATCTGTTTTGAGAAAAATTCCTGATTTAGTTATTTCTGCCGTTCTTGAGCTCGCTTTCACTAATAAGTGAAAAATGTGAGTTTTATTACTATTTCTATTGAGTGTTGTTATTTTATGTGTTTATTGAATCGTTTAGTTTTGTATTTGTGAAAGACTTGACAGTGTTATATCCAACTTACTCTATAGCCTATTTTTGGTTGCTTAATCTTTTTTAATCTTATTGAATAGGCAGAGGCTTTGAAATTTTAATCCAGTGTTAATGGTTATAAATCTCAATATAAGTCTAATAAAATTGATCTTTTTTCTTGCTCAGATCTTTTATTGACTATATTAGAAGTTGTTTTGTTGAGAATGCTTGCCTATTATTTGACTTAATCTACTCTCCTAGCTCAATCTTCAACTCAAATATGAATCTCATTAGATCATTGTGTTCAGCTTTGAGCATATTAACTTGCTTGTTATTTCTGATAATTCTTCGGACCTTAAATCCCATAATTACAGCTGGCAATGTCTTTATCAAGAAAGCCCTTATTTCAGCCTTTGATTTTTGTTTAATTTCTTAAGGCATTTATTAAATAGACTACTCTATAACTTTTTGCTACTATTACTAAAGAACACAAGAGGATTGATTCAGTTTTTACAAACTTTTATCAGTTCTGTTTTTGTTCGAGCTCTTTTATTATTGCTTCTTGATGTTTGTGGCAGATTTAGCAAGACTAACATGCAGTTTTAAATTAGCAGAATTTTTCGGAGTCTTAGGGGCTTGCAAGTTTAAATTAGATTTTGATTATGACTTACTAAGTTCTGACTAGCTAGTTTATCTTGTCATTTAATGTTAGTTATGCGCTTGCTACTGTGATAATCTTTCTAATTTGTTTGGATTGATAGTGTTGTTGATAAACTTACCAAGATCACTTGGTGCCTGGCTCTTAGTTTTTGCATTTAAATTATTAGGTGTGTGAGAACGCTTGATCTATACATTTTATGAGATGGCATCAACTTTTTAATGAGAAGTTTAAGGCCTGAGAATCATCTCATTGCTAATATTGCTGATAATTTTGCCTGCCTGAGTGAACTGTTAAAGCTGATTAGCAAACTTATTACCCTCTGTGAATGAAGATTTTCTTAAGTGATGATTACTAGCTTTGATAAGTGATTCTTTAGGCTAATTTTGAAATGATGACAATTATATCTAGTCTGTCAGGCTCTGTTGGGAATGCTCAATTTCAGATCGTTCAATAAAGGATTTTTTATTCTTAGACTTTGATTATTACTTTTATTTGTTTGGCTTGGCACCACAGGTTTATTGTTAAAGATTAGTAAGGACACTTTCCACTATTGTCTTAATTTGGTTATTATTTTCCCTAGCCCCATTCTTTTTCTTAGTTACCTAGGTAGACTGCAGACTATGAACCTTAGATTCTTATCGATTACTAACTCCTCTTAAATCCTCAGCTTAAGTTGGAGTATGCTGATTTAGTTAGTGATTCTAAATTAGTACTATACTCATGTTTTGAGGTTGCCTTGTCTGATTGTTATTTTAGGATTCCTAGAGCACCTTTCTATTTTTCATATTAGTAGTAGTCTATCTTTGCTGGCGCTAAGAGCTATTGCTATTATAGAGCTAGTTCATTGTTTTGTCATTTTGCATTTTAGGCTTGAACTATTATGCAGTCATTCCTCTGATTTAATCGCTATCTCTTCTTGTTGAAAAAGCATTACTGTTCTCATCAATTACATCTAGATTTCCAAGTTTATTCTTTTATTTAAGAATCTGTAAGGATTAATTGACGTTTTAATTGGGATTAATAGCATATCCTGATAAATATATTGACGGATTATTAAGAGATGAGCCTTCTTAAGAGTATGTAGCTTCATTAGCAAACTTTTAGTTTTGCATTTACTAAATTTTATTTCACAAATTATATTTCAAACAGAAATACGTTAAAATATATAATTTTCATTGAATACTACAATCTACTGGGCAAAATGGGGTTTTGGGGTTTTGGGGTTTTGGGG